ATTATATATACTCTAAGCATAGTTTTGCTATGTACTTACCCATATATTTGATCTACATAGTACATTGGACACCCAATGTAACATTTAGTTTAATGGGGCATTTGAGAGATAATTTGGATCGTCAAAAGCCTGGTAGTAAGTGTCTAGACTAGGGTGACCAGATTATGCGGTCTGGTAATTTTTCGAATTGTTTAAACAGTATAAAGTGAATTGAAACTGAATCTGGTTACCTAGAATGAATTTTTATACGATATAAGATGATTTTGATTATACAATATTAGTGCAAATAAAAAAGAGAGATCAACATACTTATCGTTATGCGAGTGCATCTGCGAATATTTAAGAAACATTTATAAATATGATCTTCATGTATTTCTGCTCTTTAAAAATTTTGTTAAGAAATGATTGAGACAAAGATTAGCTTATAAAAAATTCTTTTAAATGGTCAAAAAATAACTAGATTTTAGATTCTCTGACGGCAACTAGATGCCGTCAGAGTTATAAACTAAATTTTATATTTAGATAGAGAGAAAGTGAAACTAGGTCCTGATATAGACTCAGAATCTGAAAAATCAAACTTTAATTTTGGATATTGAACCCTTAGTATTTCATTCCACAGATATACTGCCACTTGTTTAGGTAAATTAGAAATACGTAAGTATCATGAATAATCTAATTAAGGAGTTTTTAGCAATCAAATCTTAATATTTTGATAAATCTAATGTATATTTTAACCATATAATATTATCCAACTAGAGATTGTACAGAAACAATTCCTCCTATTATAAATGAATTTCAGACCAATATTTATAGATATCAAACCACCAATATTTGCTAAACTAATAATTAACAAAATAAAAACTGAGGAATATGCTAAGTTAGTACTGAATAAATTTAAAAAACTAATGGAAAATCAATACGTAAAAAAACCAAAAATCTTTCTAACTATATTTTTTCTTTATTATAAATGATTGCAAAGGTTTTTCTATTCACTATTTATCTGATTTAAATTCATTTGTATTTGAAAGTAACTCACCAGTGCACGAAATTAATGGTCTATGAAAGCATCACAGATATTTATACTAAACTATATGATCTAAAAAGAATTATATTACAAGTTAAAATTTTTGACCTTAGTGAGGCCGCGGAATTTCAACACATTGAAGAAAAAGTTTATATAATTGAAAAAAAAGCTTTTTAATGCTGCTAAGAATTCTTTCAAAAATTAAAACAAAAACATTTACAACTACAAGTGGTATAGTTTTTATGAACTTTCAAAAAGCAAGTTTTATGAAATTTATTTTAGTAAAAAAAAATTATCAAATTTAGTTGCTTACATTACGCTTAAAGTTTTAATTAGAATAAAAAAATCAGGCAAATTTTTTTTGTTACATAATAATCAGAATAATATAATACATAGTCGTAACAGTTAAAAAATCATTTAAAAAATATGTTCATGATCACATTATTTAAAAAATATTTATAAGTATTATAGTTTAAGTAGATTCATATCTCTATTTTTTAAACAAAAAAACATAATTGAGATGGTGGATAATAGAGACGAACTTATAAAATATTTCTTCAATATTTTGTGGAAAGCAACCGATGGAAAAATAATTTCAGTTACCTTTAATAAAAATCCATTATTCACAGCTATATTTAATTTGAATGATGAGACTTCCAAAACATTAAATTTAGATGCTCCAAAGGTAGTCCTCATTACCAGAGAAAACTTCATAAAGATTTTAAGAGATATCGAACAGAATAAAAAGGAAATTGCAATAGATGACGATGAGATAATTACAATTATCTTTTAGGTTTATGTAATATATAGAAACTAACAAGGCAAAAAATCTTATAAAGGAATTTAGTAATTCATTAACAGAAATAGGCATTCAAGAAAGTGCACAAAATTCTAGCTTCGATATTGAGAAAGATAGTACTTTACAGATAAATACTCAAATCTATAATGATTCTGGCAATCTCATATCCATACCTTCAAGACTCAAAGAAAAAAAAATATGCATTAAAATTCAAAATTCATTTAATATCACTAATGCATAAAATTCTTAGAACTAGTCTTCTATTATATTTGAGATCACTAAAAGAGATGAGACGCAAGCTTTGGAAACTAATACTCAAGTAAATTGTTTTTATGAATTATGGTCAGATTTATTTTTTTTAATATAATTGAAAACATTCTTAACAATTAAAATTCAAAAGAAATCGAGACAACATACTGATACTCTTTCAGATGAATATTCTAATACTAATGAAGAAAATGATGAGTTGAATTTTGATGCAGCTTTAACTTTAATGCATGAGGCAAAAAAAACAAGTAAATTTACTGACAGGCATTAGTTTAAGATAAATGCGAAGTTTAAAGCTACAAAGAAAGATGAACGATTTAATAAGGTAGATAAACCTTAATCAACCAAATGGGTGATGCTTAGAGTATATATAATCTATATACTTTAAGCATAGTTTTGCTGTGTACTCATCTAAATGTAATAACGATAATAATACCAATTAACTAAAAGGCTAATGATGAACAAGTTACCTCAAACATGACAGAGGATAGTTCCCTGCAAAGTATTAATAAAGCATTGGTAACTATAAAATTTAAATATTCTAGTTTTATTAGTTAACATATAAATATTTAAAACTTAAAAATTTTAGGACCAATCGTTAGTCACCAATAATATTCAAGAAAATACTAGTAATGAAGTAAATAAATTAATAGCGGAAGATAACTTCTTGGATCAATTTACTTTTTTTTAAAATGTATATTATTTTTTTTGCCATATCAAGGATACGCTATCAATTTTATTGTTTAATAATAACTAAAACAATCTATCTGATGCATTAATGGATAATCCAATTGTTCAAAATCCGAATGTTAATACGGTATAAACCTTTTTTTTATAAACTTTATCTCTGCAAAAATGCTGTTTATTGACAATGTTGAATATTATAAAAATCCCAAGAATTCATCAAGTAACAAAAAAGCAAAAGAACGAATAGAATACACTTTATCAGAATTGTCTGATGCTGATCCTGATAGTATGCAATTGGATTTTTTTTTCTAAAACCCTAGAATTTTAAACAATAAATTAATATACCTTCTATTATAATTAGAGTGTAAATAATTGAACACAAATATTGTTGCCGAAGAATCACAAGCAAGTGGTTGGCTTCAAAATTCTAATAAGATGATGAACTTTTTACAAACTTCAAATGATCTTGAAGAAATTGAATATGAGCATACTAATACTAATCAGATAAAAAATCAGACATTGACATTTATGTAAGAAGTACTGAATTCAATTTTCTTGAATTTTAACAATTATTATATTATCTGAATTATATCATTAAAAAAGATATTGATATTAGAGGAGTGAATGTGTTTTTAATTTTATCAGATTTGACAGAGGATTCATTATCTAGTGTCAATAAAATATTGGTAAAAGTTACAAATAAGCTATTTTTATCAATGATTATATACTAATAGAACAGTTTCTAGAAACTATCTGTAACCCAAAGTAACAATCCTAGTAAAAAAACAAACTCTAACATCATTAATGCTGAAACAAGCATTGTAGAAAGCAATAGAAATGTTTGTAATATTATTATTATCTTATTTTTTTTCTTTTTTTTTTTATATACACTTATTTCTTTTATTATTTTAATTAAGAATATACTTTTAATTTCATCAATCATTAACAATCAACAAGAGATATCCACTTCAAATATTAATAAACAAAATCTATCTGATGAATTAATGGATTATCAGGTAATGAATCGACAATTTCAATAGTAAATTTGGCGAGTAAGATGCTTAACTATTTTTTTTATTTAAAGCATACATACAAAAAGGCAAATGATACTAGACAATATTCAATTGTTTTAATTGAAAGTGTTGATATAGTATGAAATTTTTATATAGACTTTATTGTTGCAAAAATATTGGCAACATTGTTAAATATTAATATAATTTAATAATAAAATTCAAACAAAAGAATAGTTTAAGAACAAGCTTTATGGAACAACCTAATAATTCACTCCCTGCCACTATGAAAAATAGTACTGAATCTCTGCACATTAATAATCAGGACAATCGGGTAAGTTTCGTTAAATTTTTGCTAACATACAATTTTTTTTGCTTATAAAATTTTTTTTCAAAGAAATCAAATAAAAGGAAATATAAAAATCTATTGAATTTATCAAGTAACAAAAAAAGAATGCAATACTCTTCGCCTAAAGCTGTTTCTGAAGGTACATGTGTTGATATGTATCATCTTTTTCAAACCTGCACATTCAAAACTATAAATTTATATGTTTATATCATAATTAGAGTATGATTCAGAGCAGTTACACACGAGTATTTTAACAAAAACTCAGATAAAAAATCTCTATATTTTGTTTTTTTAATGTTGGTTTTTTCTTATTCATTTATTAATAAAGGGAGATACCAATATTACAACTGAGCATAATGAACAAGCCAACAATGAAAGTTCAGTAAGTATATTTAATTTATCCTATTTTAACATGTATTAAAAATATATTTATAAATTAATATGAATCTCATTCATTTATACTAAATTTTTAGGACCTAGGAAGTACTCCTGTGAACTCCACAACTTCAAAACTTAATAGTATGGCTTAAATTTAAATAATTCAGATTTATTTTTAAGAACTACAAATTTAATTATTCATAATTTTTGTTAGAAGGATCGACTGCCTATAGCAAACGTCTTAAACCACCATCAGATTATACAGGGAGATTAAATATACTAAGAAAAATAAAAGGAATATCCGACAGTTTTGCATCAAATACAAACAATCTAGTTGGAATGTATTCTTAACCAATCGAAAATTATTTTAATAAGAGTTTAACACAAGTATCATTGGAGCTATTGCCAAAACAGATGAAGGATGTTGACAGTTGTTTAAAGTACCTTCAATTATGAGATCAATACTTGGAAAATTGTCAAAAAGAGATCATTAACTATTAGTATCAAATGCTAAAACTAATATATTTATTGTCTGATTTTTTTTTATATTGCTAATACTTTGTCAACAAGAACAACAAGAAGAAATGAGCCCAATTGTATTGGAGAAGACTACAGATAATTGGAAGGATAATGATTTAAAGGCTCAGATTAACAAAAAATTTGGCAATAATAATTCACATTCTATTTTGAGAAAGTGGATAGCATGTTGAAAACTGCACCATTTCCTATGGGTGACAAATGTTATGCCAAATGAGATGATCAAAGTCAAGCTAAATACAAATTATTTTCTCAGTACAAGTAAAATCGAATATAATTTCCTGATTAAGAAATTATTGAGAAATCCTGAATTCCATGAATTTCATAATATTAAAGGGGAAAATATATTAGAATTAGTAAATATTGCAAAGAGTGCTTACAATTTTAATTGTTTGTAACAATTACTTAATTTTTGTTTTTTTTTTTTTTGCTTTTTGCTCTGTTTCTTTTTTTGGAAGTGGAAAAGACCAATCATAAATAAATTATTATTAAAAACATGTCACAATTAGAAATTTTTATCATAAAAAATAATAGAATTCCTTGTATCGATTTTTATCATAGTTTATAAACAAATGCATAAATTATATTATCACGTGAATGAAAATCAAATACCTTAATAAAATTTGCACGGTTCATATTTAATTTTATTTTTTTTTACACAATGCAATTTGCCCTTTTAACTGCCAACTTATATACCACTCATACATGAATAACCATCTCGAAGAAGAAATCATGTATCAAAAATTCTAAAAATATAATTTTTCTAATTTGAATTCAATTTATTCTTTTACGGCATCATGATGCCATTGGAGAATAAACGGAGTTTCAATGAATTATGATAAATTAAACATAAAAATAATCCTTATCTTTGTAATGCCTTTCTTTTTAGAGATTTACCACTATCTAAATAATAGTAAATATCTATTGGATTTACTATTGTCACAGGTAAAAATATACCATAAGCAAATTGACAAGATGTGAGTACCAAAATCTAGTACTTTAGTTGTACTGACAAATTTTGTCACTAAAATGAGATTCTACTTGAACAGTCTCATTCTGATTGGACAAAATTATTCAAAGTAATTAATTTTTTTTCAAACTTTTAATGAAGACCAGAATAAAAAAAATTTTAGATGATGTCTTTGTTAAAATTTTGAACAAAAATAATTACAATTGAATAATTTTGTCCAATTAGAATGTGACTGTTCAAGTAGAATCTTATTTTAGCAACAAAATTTGCAAATAGTTGATTAACATTACGACACTGACCAATCATTTTTTTTGTATTTTTTTTATGAAAATTGAACATCATAATACTGGCCAATCATATTTTTTGTATTTTTACAAAAATAGATAACGATAATTGGTAAACATCGCGTAATTAACCAATCATATTTTTTGCAGATACATATAATAAGAATACCGTATAGTTTTAAAATTAAGCACTACCAAATTTTATGTAATATCTGAAATAAGCACTCTCTATATATAATCGTATTCGATTTTTACCAAGCAAGCCTACATTTTTTTTTCTAAGTAAAGTTATTTCCCAGATCAAAACGATTCTAATGGCAGTAAAATCATTAAAATTAGTACAGTAGAACTCTTACAATTGCTCTTCAAATTTTGTTTCCGAATTTGCAAATCATATAAAGCAAATATAAAAAAACGTTGACCAAATTTTGAAGAAAAATTATGAAGTTCTGCTGGTTCAATTTTGATAATTTTACTGCCATTAGAACCTTCTTGATCTGGAGAATAGTTTTATTTAGAAACAGAAGGTAGGTTTACTTAGTACAAAAATTCTATATTATTTATTTCTGCATTCTTAAAATTATATCCGAAAATAAGCACCTCTTATAACAAAAAAGAGGTGCTTAGTTTCAGAACTATATGGTATTTTTTGTGATATACAAATAAATAGGATAAGATCAAATTTGTGTTGAGAACTCATTGATAGTATAAGACAAGCAAATGATAAATTATTAAAATCGATCGGTTTAAATAATAATACAGTATATGTCGAAAATCAGATTATGCTAAAATTTTGACTTATTTTAATATAAACTTTTGTTTTTTGGGGGTTTATAGTTAGTGTTTTGGTAGATTTTGGTAGAGTTTATATTTTCAAATCGAGATTCAAATTTGAGCATCATCACTGACTATATAGCAGCAAAGAAAATTTAAATATATTCAAGTTCCTAAAGTCTCTCACTTCGTAACAGCAATAACAAAATACTAAAATGAAACTAATTGCTACTATTGACTTGTTAAAATAAAATATTATTAAGAATAAAATTTGGTTAATTAATGCATTAAGAACAAATGATAGAATAAAATGGAAATTTTTTGACTCTATTATTAATATACTCGGTTCTTTTGTAAGTTTAATGTTGGGCATTTTGTATTAGACTCTGGGTCTTGTACCAGATTATATTTAATAAAAAAATTCTTTTGGAATTCGAATATCAGATAATTTTACTCAAAGTTTTAAAAAAATGTTAATGCAATTGTATTTTGACTAAATATATATTTTATCTAAGTTAGTTGGAATGGTCCGTTCTAATTGTTCCAAAAGTTTATTATTTTGAGGGTACTGTACAATATGTAAAGTGCTTCAATAGATTACACCACTCTTGCATACCTTTGTATTTATTACGTATCAGTATTGTGACTCTTTATACTATCTAACCTTTTGTTCTTTTGTAAATTTAAATAGTAAGAAATAACTAAATAAATAAATTCTCCGACAGCACCTAGGTGCCATCAGAGTTATTTATATTTAGACAAAGAGTAAGATTCTGATATTGGATCAGAATCCAAAAAATTGAATATAAATTAGATTCAGTTTTGGAAATTGAATCCTAAAATATAGTGCTGACACAAAACATTTTAACTATTATATAGTTTGGTTGATATTAACGAGGGTCACCTGTAAACTGTCAGTAGCCCTAAATATATTATTTTTGAACACCTTAAAATAAAAATTAATAACAATATACTTGAAGTTTAGCATTACAAATTTATTGTTTCAACATATAAATGTAGTGCTTATTAGAAATATTAAAATAATTAGTACTCAATTTAAGTATATATTAGCTTTCAACTTTTTTCCTCTTCATCATTTATCATATTTATTTCAGTATTGTCAGGCTTTTCATCTTTGAAAATTAAAGTAATCATAATTATAAAGCTAACTATCACAATCACATAAGCTAAATATAACCACATAAAAATCAAATTAGCTGCTCAAATCTTACAGGCAGTTTTACTTTTTGCAACTTTAAAGTCGTACTGACAATTAAATGGGATTGG